GAAGACCCCTATTGATTTTGGGGTCAAAAGGTCAAAGGTCAAGGTCACTTTTACCTTAAAACTGAAAACAGTTTCCGGAGCATAACTTAAGTTCCATTTGGCCCACAATATTCAAACTTCATGGGATTATTGTCCATAATGAGTAGAAGACCCCTATTGATTTTTGGGTCAAAGGTCAAGGCCATAATTACATTAAAACCAAAAAAGTTTCCGAAGAATAACGTATGTTCCATGTGGCCGACTATATTCAAACTTCTTAGGATGATAATCCATATTGGGTAGAAGACCCCTATTGATTTAGGGGTCACAAGGTCAACCGTCCGTTAGCAATTTGGTTTCCGGAGCATAACTTAAGTTCCATTTTGGCCACAATGTTCAAACTTCATAGTATGATTGTCAATATTGGGTAGAAGACCCCAATTGATTTTTGGGTCAAAAGGTCAAAGGTCATGGTCTCTATTACCTTAAAACTGAAAACAGGTTCATCCGTTAGCAATTTGGGTTCCGGAGAATAACTTAAGTTCCATTTGGCCCACAATGTTCAAACCTAATCGGATGATTGTCCCTATTGGGTAGAAGACCCCTATTGATGTTGGGGTCAAAAAGTCAAAGTTCAAGGTCACAATTTCCTTAAAACTGAAAACAGTTTCCGGAGCATAACTTAAGTTCCATTTGACCCACAATGTTCAAACTTCATAGGATGATTGTCCATATTAGTAAGAATACCCCTAGGCTATTGATTTTGGGGTCACAAGGTCAAAGGTCAAGGTCACTATTACCTTGATACTGAAAACAGTTTCCGGAGTATAACTTAAGTTCCATTTGGCAGACAGTGTTCAAACTTCATAGGATGATTGTCCACATTGGGTAGAAGACCCCTATTGATTTTGGGGTCAAAAGGTCAAAGGTCAAGATCACTTTCACCTTAAAATTGAAAACAGTTTCCGGAGCATAACTTAAGTTCCATTTGACCCACACTATTCAAACTTCATAGAATGAGTGGTCAAGGTCACTATTACCTTGATACTGAAAGCAGTTTCTGGAGAGCATTACTTAAGTTCCATGTGGCCCACAATATTCAAACTTCATAGGATTATTGTCCATAATGGGTAGAAGACCCCTATTGATTTTGGGGTCAAAGATCAAGGTCACAATTACCTTAAAACCAAAAAAAGTTTCCGAAGCATAACGTATGTTCCATGTGGCCCACTATATTCAAACTTACTAGGATGATTGTCCATATTAGGTAGAAGACCCCTATTGATTTTGGGGTCACAAGGTCAAAGGTCAAAGTCACTTTTACCTTAATACTGAAAACAGTTTCTAGAGCATAACTTAAGTTCCATTTGACCCACAATATTCAAATTTCATATGATTGTGCATATTGGATAGAAGACCCCTATTGATTTTTGGGGCAAAATGTCAAAGGTCAAGGTCACTATTACCTTAATTATTGTCACAAGGTCAAAGGTTAAGGTCATTATTTATTACTTAAGTATTAATCAACCTACAGCTGTAAAATTTTATAGGATGAACAGCTTATTCCCATGTCTTACAAATGCTTCATCCTTACTAAAAAAAAACATTTTCGGGCGTATAATGCCCCGCCTAGCGGTGCTCTTGTTAATGTATCTACTTGAAACTTTAAACATATATCTTTATCACCACCCACATCATATGTGGCAAGGTCCAAAATTTTAGCACCTACATAATCAGAATTATCATCCTTGAACTTGTCATGAAAAAATGTTGTTCGTTTTCTATTACTTTTTTCTTTCTTAAGGTATCTACTTCAAACTTCAAATATACGTATGTTCTTTATTATCACTCATGTGTGAGAAGATAAAAATAATACTCTAGCTTTATTTTTTCCACAAATCCCCCCTCCCCTTGCAAATAGATTTGATTTTAGAAATAATATTGTTGTCTTCATTTTTTACAGATTTACTTTAAACTTCAATTTTCCAATTCATGATAATTTGTCATGGTTTATTCATATAGCGTCTATATTTAAAGAATTATCTCCCCTGTTATTTTTGATTTTCCTTATTTATTATTTATCTTGTATAAATCCACGGAGTTACTTCAAATTTCAAATGTGTCTTCATTAACACCTGCGTCATATGTGATTAGATTTATAAGTCTAGCGCCTAGGTTTCTATAATCATACTGAACTTAGAATTTATTTGAAAATTGTTAAATATGTTTTACGTTTTCTTCTTTGTTACTATAAATGATTTTTATTTGAAATTGTCATACTTCACTGTTTTTCTTTGTTACTTTAAATGGTATCTACTTTTAAACTTAAGATGATTGATCTTTGTGGCCACTCACATCAAATATGACAATGTTCATAATTCTAGTATCTTTATTTCAAGAGTCATCTCCTCTGTCCTGTCGTCCCTGAAAAAAAAACTGTTTCTGAAGATTACCTCTAAAGACATAGGAACTTTTCAAACAAATTTATTTAAAGTAAATATAAAGGTTATAACATTAGTTCTATATATTCATCCCGATAAAATTGGATCTTTTGATTATCTTTTGTATAAACATAGTTTCCTTATTTTGCTTAAGACTGGAAACTTAACACATAACTATGATACAGATAAACTAAAAGTTGAAAGGATTCAATGCCCATTCATGCCTTTCGCAATAACATTATTGAATTGCCACGGCCCTTAAGAATGTTGCTTGGTTTCTAACCGGTATTGGACCTTTGTATTGCTTGCATGTTGAATATAAAGCTTATACATGTATATCTTCATGCTTTGTTCAAGAAGTTACATATATATTATCCCGTTTATTGATTTTAACTGTAAACACTGTATAATGTTGTATTTGGAAAATCTTGAGTAAAGATATATGCTTGAATAGGAAGTTTAAATAATACGCATTTTCCGTTTAAATGATAACATATATTTAATTTGGATACTGTGTTATGTTAGTATAATTTTAATAAAGGTTATTTTTACATCAATTGAGCTTCTGTACATGTGTAAAGTGCTTATAAACTGTAAACTTGTATGACTGAGTTAAATTGTCTTTCTTATGCCCCAATTTCATAAGCAGGGGCACACTGTGATAAGGTGGTCGTCCGACTGTTGACATACACTGCTGTAATCCTTGTAATATCAAAAGTTTGAGGGGGTATAAGCCGTAGCCAAACATATAAACCATCACCAGTTAGTGACTACCATTAAGTGTTGTGTTATAAGCTGAAATATCAATGTCACTATGCCAGTTGGTTAAACTCAGAAAAGTCATTGTAAATGTCAATTAAAAAAAATTGTTTAGTTTCTGGTCATCCGGTTAAAAAACGAAGGTCACACTGAACAGTTTTTGTAAAAAAGCATTATCTGATCAGTAACTTGTAAGGTAACAAACTATGTCTGTTCAACTTCATACAATTCCTATCAACAAAATAAATACGTTAACATTTATCGACGATTCTGGCTTACTTCCACCTTTAGCATTATGGGTTGGTTGAGTATCTGTATCTCGAAGTAACCTTTCTCGGCCTTAAAACATGTACATCGCTTGTCATCTTTGAAGCCGTAAAAAGTAATGTTTTTAAATCCATCACACTGAACCTTTTTTTTTTGGCATTAAGTAATAACTAATTACAAAAACGCCATACTGCTTTTTCCTGGCCATGTTTTTTTTCAATTCTTTTTCATTATGCCATTCTTCAAATACATGTTCTAATATAAAATATGATGATTGTGCAATCATCAATTCTCACTTAACGATTGCTATGTATTTGAAGCAATATTCATAAAAAATTCAGTCATTGCTTATCTGACGTCATGTAAAATTAAGCTAGATTTCTACTTTAATTTTTCGTAATAGTATAAAACAAGCACATTTACTAACGATATTATCTTTCTGCACACTAGGTACCGTATATAATATGAAAATTATACATGCACTTATCAATAGTTTTCCTGTCACTTACAATATTTAAAAATATATGCAGTTTAATTTCATTTCAATAAACGTTGCCATCAAAAAGTTATAACAACGCCTCACACAGTTACGTTTTTGTTTTGTAAAAAAAGGAACTTCATTATGTTTTTCAAAGCGTCAAAGGTAGGAGAACTGTTTCGGATGATATAAATATGATATTTTCCTTGCAAGGTCGAACTTTTATCTGCATCATTTCAGTATTTGTTTTTCGATTTTTAAGGTTTAATGTCTTATAGAGAAAAATATAGTTTGTGTTCTCGTAACTGTTGCTTACGTTTGGCCACGCTTTTGTTCAAGATAAACTATATACGTGTGCATGCTGCAAACTTTCAGTATATAACGGAAGTAAACAGTATATAATGCAAATGACATCACATTAAAGTGTTATTACACTAGTGTAATATCGCTTTTATTAAATGACTTTATGACACTGTTGCGCCGCGGTGGATGTGTTAATTAACGATTTCGATAGCAAAATCACATATTATTTCTAAATAAAACATATTTATCACATAAACCACGGCGCAGGAGTGCAGTTAAGCCATTTAATAAAAACGATATTACACTAGTGTTATAATCTTTTGGCGTGACGTCATTTGCGTTATATACATATTATATAGCGTAAAAGCGCGCTAATGTTAGCGTTGCACTACAGGCGCGTTCATGGGAAATGGCTCATTTTAACAGCTTACCATTGTTATTTTATATATGAGATCAATATAATATTATATTCGTGTAGATTCAATACTAAATTTATTGAATTTATAGGATCTCGCATAATATGATTTTGTTAAACTCAATAAATTTAGTATTAAACCTACACTCATTCATTATCCTCTATATAATTTAGCAAGTGTGTATATATGTACAAGCAGATTTTAAATGATCTCAGGATAAATGATCCGTTTGTATAGTTTTATTTTTTATACGCACTGTTAAACATGAAATCGCATTGTTTTGTGTGTATTTTGTAATGTGATACAAAATTGGAACGAGCTTACAGTCATAATACTTATTACAAATGATAATTTAAGGTGTTAATACGCAAAAAGTGACACTTTCACCAATCAGTGTAGACGTACTGCAAAACAGCAGCGTTGTTTTGACATGTTCAACAACTGGTAGTGTATCCTCATGGGGAAGGTCAGGAATTTGGTCATTGCTGCGCGTTTTAAGTGATGGAACGTGTCAACCGAATGGTTTTATCAATAACAGCTCGTTATATTCATGGACATGTCACAACAATGGAAGTTTTTCGTTAACACTGCTAAAAGTTGATAGATCACAACATCGGGAGGAATGGTTATGCAAGCAGGGATATTCTGAAATAAGCAATACTGTAATAATTAATGTGAAAGGTATATGCTTTTCTTTTTGTGTTTTATTTTGTATGTTGTGCATTTCCTGAGATAAAAATAACACAACACATGGTGATTTATGATTTCATATTGTGCCTTTCCTTAAAACAAATCCGGTGAAAGGTCAGCTTAACAATATTTTAAGAGCAATTTTATTGAGAAAAAGAAACACAAATGGCCGCCATTAAGCAATATTTTTACGTGAAGTCATTATTGTCCCGTTTTTTTTTTATAAATCGTGCAGTTTATATTCCTGATTTGAAAATGGAAAAATAAAGGAGAAGAAAAAATCGGAATAACGCTTTAAATTTCCAAAATTAGAAGAAAAACTTTATCTTTCGTTAAGTCTCCGTTGCTAAGAAACTGCCAGTCACGTGAAGAAACCAGATAACGTCGACAATCAATAAAAAGGTTTTTTCTTGTAAGGAAAAGAGTCTCAGCAATGGTCCTTTTCCAAGGTAAGAAGTAATTCTTAGAGAAGATCGCTTCCCATTAAAGTACCAAGTCTAGGAAAAGATGTCCACTTTCTAAGAGTTGAACTTAAGCAAATATCTACTTACAGGAAAGAAAAAAAAAAAGAGAAATCGGCTTCCAAGGAAAGGAGGAATTCGTAATATTGTCCACTTTCCCGGAGGAAGCAAAACTTAAGGGAGGTTTATCATTTGAGGTCGAGAAGCAAGTCTTAAGGGCACATCATGTCCAAGTTGTTTTGGAAGTTTAACATTTCAGCAGGTCAAAGTTAAGCAGAATATTTACAAGTCTATGTTGTGCAGCAAGGTCATTGATGTAGCAAGTCTAGTTTGTGCAACAAGTCAAATAACACAGAAAGTTTAATGTTGCAGCAAATCCAGATATATACTAAATGCAGTAATAATATATGTTTATTATATACTTATAAATGAAATATTGAGAAATATTGATGAAATAAAATGCGTATTTTCATTTTTCGTATTTTCACTGTAAAATTATTTTTTTCAATGCAGTGAAACATATTTTCCGTATTTTCACTGGTGTCTTGCCGGACTACTTTCTTTTAAATTCTTCCAGTACACAAAATTTAAGGGAAGTCTTTCAAATTTTATCGCAAAAAAGAGAAAAATGTATATAATAAACAGAAAATTCAAGTTTTTTCTATAAATACTTGATTTATTTTCATCTTGTGGCATGAAAATTACCTTATTTCACTCGTGGCTACCGCCACTCATGAAATATTTATTTTCATACCACTCGAAAATAAATCATGTATTTATAGAAAAAACTTGAATATCCTCTATAAAATGTGATCCCAGTGATGTCAGTAAGTTCAAGCAGTGCAGCACATCCTGGATACTATATCTTAAGCAATATTCAGAAGTACCGCTTAGAATATGATAAAATGTCGTAAGTAAGGCCAACACTTGAGACCTGTAACTTTTAAAAGCTTGCCAAAGTGTGCTTTCTGAATCATAAGCAAAACGATTTATCGCTATGTGGATGTATGTTGTGGGCTTTTAAAAGAGTCCGATGCAGTAGGCCTGAGTAAAACCCAAAAGAAACCATGGTAGTCTGAGTTTGTCGTATTGCTATTTTAGATTTACTCTCTATATCGATAGCACCCTCCGAAACATTGTCATTGTAACTTGTCAAATATTTATTTTATAGCAACAAAGTTGGTAATTAAGTCTGCAGATGCCTTTTTTTTCAAGAAAAAATCATTGTTAGATCTTAAACAGTTAAGCTGCATGTAATAGCTTTCAAATCACGCATAATTTGATCAGACTATGTAACACAGCACACTCGGTGTTTTTCTCCTCATAACAGACATAACAAAGTATTGTTAAGTTTATCGAAGTCCTGTTAGATATTAATCTTATTATGCAGTGTTTTGAGATCAACAAAAATATTTAACTAAAAGTAAATATCTTAAGGCTATTGTAAATTGTTGTGTACATTCTACTGGATGTTTAGCAGCTGTGTACGAGCTCTGTAAAATAAATATTGCATTCAACAAAGTATAATGACTTCTTTCTTTCATAACTAATATATCTTTAAATTTTAAAATTTAAACGGAATGTTGTTACTTTATGTACAATAAGAATTGTTATGATGTTTATTTGGACTCTTAAAATAAAAAGGCGCTAAATGGAGTATGGTGGTGATTTGATCATTTCTATCTTTGTAAAATATTTTGTAGAAAGATATCCATATCATTTAAAATATTGCCGCGACGTAAAAATCGGGATTGTGCGACATATACATTTAGTATATGGTTAAAATGTTTAGATACTATAGATACTTCAATTTTAAGAAATCCAGTTGAATTATATAATAAAATTACGCAAAAAGAGAAATAAATGAATTGTACCTATAAACAACTTAATACGAAGGATGTTATAGAAGTTATTTTCTTGATATTATCTTGTATAATTGTTTTAATGGAAATTTTGTTAAGTCGGAAAAGCATCGATTCATGCCATTTTCTCCGTTTTCTTGTCCGCATCGTTTGACAACTAAATATTTTATACAAATTTATACAAATGCTATCTATGATGATTTAATACACATAAAATTGATATTTAATAGATCAAACAAATTTTCATAAAATGTGAAGCAATAGGCTAAATGTTCTAGTACATTTGAATGTCCGTCACGTCGTTAATACACATAGACATATCATTATAAGCCATACAGTTTATGAGTCTATTAAAATGCTTGAATTATAAAGCGAGAAAGTGTGTTATGAGTCAAACGTTATCGGGTGATATTTGTGAATAACCATCTTTTGTAACTGTATATATGTACATAACATAAGGTCACTTTGAAAAATTTCAGTTCCAGTGGAAAACGCTGATATCACTACACCGAGTGGCAGTATTGGGACATTAGTAGAAAATTATTATAAAGTGTTCATATGTGTTACATCATACAGTAGACCAACTCCGTCTGTGAAATGGTTTATGCGACTTGAAGGAAATAACATCGAAATCAATCAAACCAGTTCTATCGTGATCACTTCTGATGAAAAAGGTTTTCAATCTGCAAAAAGTAAACTAAATATAAGTGTGAATAGAGAGAAACTGGGAACAGAAATTTACTGCAATGGATCCAATGGCTTGGGAACAGAGGTTATGTCTCGCACAGTAACGCTAAACGTATTATGTAAGTTATCTTCAATATTTCAAGAAAACCCAAAAAAACTTGAATACGTATTATATAATTTATATAAGGTTGTAAAAGCAGATTTTCTTAGCACTTTGATTTTTTCTTAATACTAATTGGCACAATAAGAATATAACCTCTAGATCCGCTATGAATTTCATATAAAAATTGTATGCATAATTTATTTAATGGAACATCATGACATCTTTTTTAAATTATTGATTTTGTTGGTCTTCTTTATGTTTTTTTCTTTCTTTTTCTTTTTTTCAACACTGTGGTGTGCTATTTGTATATTGATTTTTTCCGTTGCTAGGTATAAAGGCAGTTTCTCAGATTGTATAACAGTTTGATGTTATTTCTTGAACGTCAATGTTATGTTTGTTATTGTTTTTTAAGATCCACCTAGCATTAATGAAATACCCGATAAGCGAGTAATAGAAGGGTCTATTGTAAAGTTGACATGTCACATCACGTATGGTACTCCAGCTGAGACAAATTTTATATGGACAAGGAAATTAGACAACAAGCGTTGGTATATGAAATTGTTAACAATTCATAAAGTTTCCCGAAATGACAGTATGAACTATACGTGCATGGCAGATAACACAATGGTGATGACAGGAAATATTTCAAGAAAAGCATTGATGCAAAGCATCAAAGGCGGCGCCAAAAAAAAATTGATCAAGTTTTGCACCTAAATACTTAACAAAAGATGTGTACTTTATAGCAGTATCATTACATGTGACCTGGAGGGATAGACCCTGTCTTGCCAAGATGTAAAGACACTTTTAGTCAATAAACAAATCACTAATAAGAGTCATGTCATAAGAGAGAATTTCTTCAGATTTATTTTACAAGATACAAGGATACTTGAGTCATCAGCATATTATAAAAGCTTATTGCTTAGGGTTGCAGACATGACATTGACATATATATTAGACATAAAAGAGGACCTAAAAGTAACCTCAGGGAAACACCATAGGTACTCGGAGCAGTAGTAGAATGAGTACCAGTCACATCCACCAGCTGCTGTCCATCAGGAAATAGACTTGAACCATGTAAGAATGTCATTACCTATAGCAGATATATGCTAGAAGTTTCATGACTTCTTCATGTGCAGTATAGTGTGATCAACTGTATCAAATGCCTTTTGTAGATCTAAAAGTATCATGCATACAATACTGCCTTTGTCCATTTCAAATTTAATACAATCTGTTAAATGAATCAAACATGTGTCAGTTGAAAAACCACTTCCAAACCCTGACTGAAACTGCTTGACCATGACTCGAACCCATGACTGTCAGAAGATCAACTGAGCTATCCGGCCGGCTACACATTTCCTCTTTAAAAATGAACAGTTCTAAACCACAACATATTTCCCCAACTTTATTGATTTGTGTCCTTGAATGTTTGATGTTTACAGAGCATAGTGAATTAAACTCGGGGCTATATGCAGCCACAGGATGAGAAAAACTTTCAGCTTGACCTGAACTCGAATCTGTGACCCACAGAATAATGTACTGCGGCTGTAAAGATTGAGATATCTGGCCGCTTACACATTTTCTTCCTTAAATAGTGAACAGCTCTTAATCATGTCAGATACTTTTAGATTTATTAATAAACAGATAGATTAATTCTTAATTAAACAAATAAGAAAAAAACTTACATACTCATAACCTTAATCAAAATAACAATTTATATACATGTATTGTATAATTGTTTTTACTAAAAAACGGCATATACATTTATTGCTTGTGCCATTAATTATAACAGGTCAATAGAAAGTGAACATAACTGTACTAATACATGTTCAATATCTATTTTTTTGTAGGTACAACACAAACCTTTTTTCTTTGATAAGAAATTTTATGGAGGCTGATTTGTATTTTGCATCAGGGGGCACCGGGCGAAAACATGAATATACAACAAACGAACCATTTTGTGGTAGATTGTATTTTCATGATTTCATCTGGCGCCCGGTTCCTTTTTGTACTTTGTTGGTTTTCATGTGGCACAATCACTCACTATAAAATTTAGTGCACAAATTTATTCAAGTGCAAGTAACAATCTACTATATGAAAAGTCTGTAGTTGGGTTGACTCTGGAGACCTGGAGGTTGAGACCGGTGTCCCTCCATTACAAATAGATACGACAGAAGCTGTCCTTTTCAAACTATGCACATGTTAGAAAAACAATAGAAGAACAATTCAAAATATGATTTTTTTGAGGCTTTATACATTATATTGCTTGATCCAAATTTAAGGACATTTTTTCATACCTTAAAGGACCAGTACTGACCTACTAGCACAGCGAATGTGGAATATATATCTTTATTGCCATACAACTGTCCGGTGGAATTGCACCATGGACCCTGCCATCACTAGTAATGGACACTAATTAACCTCAATTCTTGATAGGTCATTATGTAACCTGCCAAATCTCACAAGTTCAGAAGATAAACCACAACATCCAGGCTAAGATTCCTTTAACTGTTTTATAGATATTATTATTAGCCAGCTAACACTGGTATAAACCTTTAACCTGTATACTAATCAATACATGTATTATCATTTATAACTTTAAATGAAAGTCCTCCATTACTTTAATAATAATGTCATAACTGTACCTCTTTAAATACAGAAATATAAAAAGTCTCATCATATCCTTATACTAAGATATACATGTATACACATAACATTAACAATTCCCAGTTTCTATTAAATAATTATGAAATCCTAACATTGACATTAACATTGGTACTAATGGATGGAATTCAAAATCTAGTAGAAAGAAAACTATTATGTATAACCTCCATTATAGATACTATTATTAGCCAGCTAACACTGGGTATAAACACCTGTAACCTGTAGACCAATCAAAATCTGTATAATCATTTTATATAAATTTAAATGCAAGTCTCATCCATCATAACTGTAAGTGTTTAAAATTGATAACTACAGGATGTTATCCCTTCTCTGTTTCAATATATGGACATGAGCACCTATATGCATAGCTTTGATTTTCCAACTTTCATTTTTACCAAAGGTTATTTTATTAACAACTTATATACAAACACATAGAAAATAATAATTAGTTTCACGTATTGATTAGAAGATTCCTGTAGCAGAATACCTGTAGGTATGTACTAACTGAACAAACTAGAAAAATCCAGTCTATACTGTATATAAAGCCAGTAAAAAAGTATATTAATATTCACTCCTAAGATATACAGAAACGAACAAATAATTTAGTAAACATGAGTTACTTCCCCTTAAAATAAAGAAAACCTGAAACCCAAACGAACACCCTAAACAGCAAAATTATAAATGTTGCAGGCTCAGCTTTATTAAGCCATGCAAAGTAATGGTAAAGTATTCATAAAAATTAGATGGCCATGTGACAGCAGTAATTGCAGAAAATTGGATAGCTTTCAACATCCGGATTCTGGTACACTTTGTAAAAACAATCATTCTGTGCAATAGATGAACGTAATATGGATAAAATCAATACTTCCAGTTCCATTACCAATCTTAATACTCATTTGCAGGTGAACGTTCTTCTTGTAGGAAAATTTTGAAAAAATATAAATAAGTCATCAAAGTAGACCACAACGATATTCGAAATCCGGGTTTTAGTATTGCCAATAAAGCTAAGGGACAAGCTGTCAAACTAAGCCTTTCGTGAAAATAATATCACAATGCACATGCTTTTTGCATAAAGTTATTAAATACAAATATAACAACATATTTGTTTACTTGATTTTTACGAATCGAAATAAAACTCATTAGTTAAACACAAAATGACATTTAATTTAACTACATAATTATAATAACAGCTCCTTCCATAGGCCAAAATAAAAAGCATTCCATAATAGACGACGCTGTTCACCGGCGTCGCCAATAAAAATCGGTTCAGCAAGCAGGAAAACACAACTCATGGTCTTATGTATGTAAATATTAAAATAAATGTTGGCAATATATAATATGTATATAATATCGGCATCTAAAAATATCAAATAATACACAAAAGTTATTTGCATCATTTTGTTGGGTTTTCTTTATTATAACGCTTGATAAAAAACTAATTGAACCACGTTTTCTTCTTATAAGAGCTGATTTATCACAATACAATTTAGGTATAAATTAGAATTGACTAAGTTACCAAAAACGGTTCCTTTACCAACATTCAAATACATGAAGACTGACATTTAGTTATATGTTATTTTCAATGACAAATTTTAACTTTTATTGAGAACTAATTTGTTTCATCCACAAATCCTCCGAACAAACCTTCAATGGTGCTTCTGTACATATCAGACTCAGAAGGCGTACATAATACTGCCACCGATAAGTTGTTTGTTGTTGAACATACACCTTTTTCTTTGTCATGTAAAACCGGTAGCGTACAAATGCCTAACTTGTATTCATGGAATCAAAATACAATGACGAATACTTCAAGTTTGCACATTCCTGGTTTGACAAGGAACGAAAAAGACGAAATCACATGCCATGTCAGAAATAATATGGTTTCTACTGAGGGGACATCAATGACAGGCAAAAATAATATAACGATTAGGATAGACATCCTATGTAATTAGTTTATCATCTTAATTTTTTAATTTTATAGGATCATATACCAAATTAGTATTCGACTGATTTTGATGTTTATATGTGTTGGCCAATTAAGCCAAAGCTTTAGTACGTAAATAAGCTAGTAAGTTAGTAACGCCTTAATTGTTTCTGAAACTAAAATGCCACTTCAATATTCTTTCAATTTTGTACAGATTAGAATGCATTTTTATGTTTATAACAGCTTCTTGTTTTCAGAAAATGAATATATCGCTGAATGTACTAATTGGAACAATTAAAAGAAAGATAACCAATATACATATTTTTTATATTTTATAAATGCAATTTCAGATTCTCCAGACATTGGAAATATAGATAACATTTCATCTGAAGAGGGAAACAGTGTGGATTTGACATGTCCAGTTATAAATGGCAATCCTCATAAAACAAGCGTCCTTTGGACAAGAAAGAAAGACGAGCGACTATGGTTTGGTGCAATGTTTACTCTCACAAACATTTCAAGAACTGATAGCACAACATACACATGCAGAGTAAACAACACTATGATTATGACTGGTGGTTTTATAAAAGAGGGGATCACAAGTAAACATATTGAACTTGATGTGTTATGTAAGTGTGAACGGTTTTAGTATTTTTATAACAATTTCAAGGTTCTGTCTTTGTTTATAGGAATGCTAAATATATATTACCGGTATTTTACACATACGTGTAACACCTAGTGCACTAACTTTTATAAATTGTTAGGCTATAAACTTATCAAATGTGTTTTTTGTGTTTGCTGAATATCAATACTCTTTGTGAGGATAGAACATATATAACCAGTTCGCTATCTTAAACACGTGGTTGTAAGCTTAGAATTGATCAGTTATTTTTATTTATTTTTTATTTATTTATTTAAAATAAATTTTGCTGTTGGTTGTGATTGCAGACAAAGCTCGTGTCCGTAAATATTTTGTTCTGAACAACGAAGCAAGTACTTCTGCCACGGTTTCGGAAAATGAAACAGTAGGTTTACAATGTGAAATAGAAGGAAATCCTACCCCAACATGTGAAATATACAATGATAATAATCCGGATAAGGAACAATATGTCAATTATTCACAAAATTATGCGATATGCTATACCACTTTCCATGCAAGTTGTCTTCATGATAGTGTATATACATGTAAAGGTTCCAATGTTATCAACAAGGCAGAATCTACGGAGAAAAATATCAATGTCTTCGTGCAATGTAAATAAGTTTTTTTTAATTTCCTTTTAAAGATAATTAAAAAAATCTTGTAACTTAAAGGGTTTAAATCCAAAAGATATATGTTTCTTAAGATGATAACTATGATACGATAAACACAAGTACTATTTTGAATGTATGTCCTATTTAATTTTCTTATTTAATGAAAACACGATGAACACTCAAAAAAGCTGCTTTAAATTACATTTGATTTTCAAAATGATATTTAGTGTTATATAGACGAACTTAGTAAATTAAGCCAATTAGCATTATCGAATAAGAAAACGTTTTGAACGTCTGTTCGTTTAAAAATTGCGTTTTTTTAGAATTCATACACATGCAGTTTAATCAATAAATCCTTTTAAGGTTCTCCTAGACCAAATCCTTCTGTTGCAACAATGGATCATGTTATTGCCGAAATAAATGCGCCGATAAGCCTCCACTTTACAGCACTTGCTTATCCAAAACCTAGTGCCTCATGGAGAAAATTTGTTGGACAATCCTGGGTTGCAGTTAATGAAAGCAACAATATACAGATATATCAATCAGATTTGGATTTTGGTATGACAATTATTCGAGCAACGAATGCAGACATTGGAGAATACAAATTATTGATTTCTAATGCTATTGGATCCTACATTCACATTTTCTACATTGAACAAAAAGGTTTGCAAGAACATTTTCTACAGCTTTTAGCTTTATTAAAAAAGGAAACGTATACTTAACTTAAACATGTCTAAAAGATATATCTAGAGTGTTGAATTATCGAGAATGTTGTTGATATTATTATATGTATATTCTTACACGGTTGGTTTATTCAATAATGCCAATATTTTATATTTATAACGTTTTATTTTGAAATAGATTGAAATATGTTTGTAAAGCTAATATGGCTAATGTGTATTGAAATAAATGTTATAATTAAAAACATTTGGGCTGTGGCAGAAAATAAAACATGTTCTTCGAGTCGTATCGTACATGCATCTTTTATGAATATTGAAATGATAAAGCGTACTTTTTTAGTTAATTTTTTTATAATTAAAACATTTATTTTTTATTCAAAGTTTTACAAGTGTTACACGAAATATAAGATTAACGGAGAAGTAAAGAAAACAGGAAAATGTTACACAGTGTTGTTTGATTTAAACATGAAATGTTACAAAGAGAATAATTAGATGATTCTTCTTTTTTCATGATTCTTCTTTTTTCAGCGGCTTCAACACAGTCTGATGAATTTGCCAAGACGGGACTCATTATTGGACTTACAATAGCTTTAATTTGCATTATAACACTTGTAACTAGTGTTAGTGTAGTTTTGTGCAGAAGGTATGTTCCTCATTCAATTGCGTCGGAGTGCACTTAATTTATCCTTGATACTGTTCACATATTGTGAAACGTAACATTTATCTCAATGAATCAGTTAATGTGATATAACTCGAAAGATGCAAAGATGACAATGACACTGCTGATTTACAAATAAATTGTTTTAAATGACAACGATGTTTTATACATAACCGACGCCCATAACATTCAACATTTTTATTTTTATTTTAGGATAAAACAGAAACGCAGAGAGACAGATGTTAACCATTCGTATCAAAATGTATCAGGTAGGATAACATCTGAAATTGTATCTGGTGTTAACTACACTTTTAAGATAAAGAAAAATAAGTTGAGCTGATTTGACTTCAATTTTAATATTAAAATCTCTAGTGAAACAAGTTTACTTCTACGTGATTTAAACTGATTTCTCTAATTAAGTTTTTAAGTATCCTTTACGTACCCTTTATATATTTACAAAATCAGTAATTATAGCCGACAAGTTATTCAATTAATCAAAGAAAGGCAGATCACAAGTTTATTTGAAGATTTGGCTAAGGATTGATTTGGGACATGTATTCAATGTCAATGTCACTATTACTAAAAAAGAAAAGTAAATAGTTTTCGGTTGGTGACTTGAGAAAGAAAGAAAATATTGTATTCAATAATATAACAAGCTTATTTTGTGACCGCACTAAGGACCACTGCGGCGACTGAAAGTCAAGGTCATGGTCTCTGTTACTAAAATATAAATATGTTCTCGATCAATTGCTAAAGAAAGGAACGATACATTGTTATATAACTTACAAAGCAAAGCAGTTTGCGATAATATAATGCATTTTGGAGGTCAGGTTAAAATTCAACATAAATAATTATTGTAGATATTTGCCGTTTCTAGCCTTACAGTCCAAATACCTATAAAATAGTTTTGTGGTTTATGGTTTAAAATGCCTTCTTAGCCTCCGATCCGCTTTCAAAATTCCGATTTATTTAGTTCCGCCCATTGTTTTCTCGTTTAGGGCAAAAACATTCTTTTAATTGGGGACCATATGCCGATTTTTATGGAATGGCACTCTTGTGTCATATTGAAGATTTAATGATAACTGCCGTATCAACACGTCTACGAATGTTTCTAAATTCAAAATTTCATAATTTTCGTGTTTAAATGTTCAATTCTGCATACGCCGGTGCTAGAGGGCGTAGACGTTAACTCTTGCACTTTCCAGTACCGTCCATGAACAGTCTCAATCAAACCGAGCATGCAGCATTTTCAATTTTGCCGTCTTAGACTTTCTTTAGGGATTTTGTTTATCTCTATTTTAAGGATTTATTCCTTTATTAATTAAGAGACTATTCTAAAGATATGTAAGTACTTAAACTGCACAGAATAAAAGCTTTGACTGCAATTCCCATTGTTGTGAAGAGATGAAAGTTAATGCTTTCTTTAAACTTTGTGCATAAGTTATGCTTTTGTTCTTATTTCAAATTAGATGATAAAGGACATTTCACCAATTTGCAAGTATTATATTCTGATGAATAATTGTATCTATAGGAAAGGAGAGTAATTGTAATACACATAGTAGTCCTTTATTATAATAATTATAATAAAACGCTTTTAATTTAGAAAATTAAATACTAAGTTGATAGATAATATCTATTAATATCTTACCGATTATTTAGCATCGAATATTTTTAGGATTGATATTATGGTGTTTGAAAGATAAGTATTTTGTTTCTTCATAAACATATACCATTACATTATTTGACTTTTGTAATGGGTACGCAATATTACTACACACAAAGGATGTGATATATCAGGTGTCATTTTGAAAGATTTGGTTATAGATCTTTAGAAGAAAGACGCCTTGTGTATTAAGCTTACTGCGTGCATGTCATTCGCTTTCAGTAGCAATTGTTCAAAAATCGGATTCATGGCATTGTCGTGTTTCTTGATTTACATGAGATACTTTTATTTCGTATAATTGAAAATAAAATGTTCTACTTATTAGGTGAAATCAATCAACAGATAGTTTATGACAAAACGTATGAACAAATAGGTATGAATGTTAAAAAAGTGGAAAGCACAGTCAAGGAAATAAAAAAATTCGATAAAGGTGAGACATAAATAATTCTTTTTGTAAGCAAGCAATTGTGTTTTTGTGTTTTTATAGTGAGAAACCTTCTCTCTACACAAATTTATAACAAGTAGAAAAGGTCATTCCAGGAGAAATATTTGCATTTCATTGACTTCATTCTCAATCTCGTTTCAAATTTGTAGTGATACGTACGTACGTATGTAATGCAAGAACAGGTCTGTATTTTTTTTTATTTGTGTCTGATAAAATACCTCATTCATATTTCAGAAATAGAAGTCGAAAGCGACATTTCAGTTACATATGAGAAATTAGCAGAAAATAGAAAAGATGTGAGCCAGTACTCTCAGCTCCATAGTATGAAGGAGACAGAAACTGGAACCGGAGTTGGGACTAAAATAAGTCTTTCTAGTGGCGAAGAAGAACGAAATATCGTCCAGTCCAATATTTATATCAATATGAACATATAAATACTTGACCCTTAAAAACTAGTACAATAATATATCACTTTACGTTCAAGATGATATAAAATGTAATACAAGAAGCTGTAATCATCATTTACAATTCAGCTTTACTTATTTTGTAAAGCATGTTTTGGAATATATTCGCACAGAAGCTGTCATTTATTATTGTTTAAATAATTATTAAAAATCGTTCAAAAATTTTCAAAAATCGTTTTTTACTGGCAAAGGCGCGAATTTAAATTTATAAAATGTGTTCTCTATGTAAGTTTCGACGTTTAAACTTTGCTGGCAAACTTAAATGAGGATTGAATATTGATATTTATCAAATCACATTGGTAGTCATACACTTACTTGAAAACATGTACAAATTATTTAAATATTTACAGAGCAAATACAAGAAATAGAACGAATATTATAATTTCAAATAAACATATTATACCCTTAACTCTTGTACGTGCTAGTTCGCTTACTGAGACGTCAAGTACAAAAACACTTTACAAAAGTTGCGTGTTAAAATAAATTGCCTATTTGGTTAACAGGAAGACAGATATTTTAAAAACAAACAGGAAGAAAAAATGTTTTACTTTTTTTATAAATGATATGTAATTTAACCAAGTGTTATTATATCGCTTGTAGTTTACAGTTTACAATAGCATTGACTGTATGTTGTATATCCCTATGATAAAATATATTTTTGTTAAAACGGTAACTTCCAAACATAATACTTAAATACACGTGTGCAAAAATAACTGCTCGTTTAGAAGTTGTCTTTCATTATCTCTCAGTTTATTTGCCAAAATCCGAAAACAAAAATGATTCAACACGAAAGATATTGTATAGACAGTTACAGGAAGAATTGAAATTTGCAACATGTAAATGTTCGCATACAATTCAAATTTAATGTAAATACATAAAACGGATAACATTGGAAGACAGGCAGACATCTTTAAATATGACACTAATATACAATCCGGATCCATTGCCGATACTAACTGTTACTGCAATCATGCAAATTTCACCCTTATAATCTTCATAAACAGTACTCAATGCATGTTGCCTCTTTTATCCCTATTATAAAGTGTTTTCTCATACATTATTTTAATCTACATTCGGTCGGTCTTGTCAAGAAGACGATATCGAAAGCGATATATATATTCATCCGAGAAAATGATTTGCTTTTTATTGAGAACAAATAATTTACAAAATATTTCTTTCGAAACATTAACATTACTTTTACTCTTATAAACCAAAGAACAAGATGAAATGATCTGTCAGTAGATCAGAACCATTAAAAACCACTGAAAGACATATAAAACATTCAATATCTCTGTCTTACAACTATAAAGCAAATGGTAAACACATAAGTTTCTGTATACATCAAATAAAGTATAACTTAAACACAATTGATTCAGCTGTAATGTTCAGCCTACCTAGTGATATCTTATTGTAATGTACACAATCATCATGCTACTTACCAATATCACACTTATAGGACACTTATATTATAAAAAAAACACACACACACAAATCAAATACCTTCTTAGTTGTAGAGAGGACAAATACAATTTTTAGGATTTATAAGAACATAACAGACACATGCGTGTAAACAAAAATATTTGTTGCATTAAAGCTAAGATTAGGCGAATAATATTGGCAGCCGACAATGCTTGAGTGTCACCGTATCATCCTAACAGTGTTGGTAACAGGATTGAACACAATCAGACTCCAGCAACATTGCATAAGTGTAGTGTTTTAACTTTAGCAAAGCTCACAATTAAAGAGAGAACACAATATGTCTATGATGACTCGTCAAAATTATTATGCAATATTGTAAAAGGAGTGTTTTCATTTATACTTACATTAAACGTCACAAAGGAGCATGACTCCAGGTTCATGCTTATTGTCATGAAAATTAAGAAAATATAGTTTGTCTATAACCTAAAATCCTACCTTAAAATTGAGTGTACATGCAAAAAACGTGAGTTTTCGAGGAGAATAAAATGCGTAGCACATGATCATGATCTTGTAATAAAGGGGTAGTTAATCAAGTTTCTTGCAAACTTAAATTTTCTTAGCTGATTACAGGTTTGACACACACTTTTTATCAATGCAAATGGTCAAGTTTTAAACGATCCAAGAGTTTCCATCCCATTTTCAACGAATCCCACAAATAATGAGGACAAACAAATTTGGAATAAAATAATTAACATTCGAATATTACATATTAAACGATTTATTAAAAAATCTGAATTCTAACAATTGCATACTGGCGACTTTTTTCACATCATATCTTTGTTCCATTCACTGAAAAAGGTAGAATCATATAATAGGGACATTGTTCCTACCTTTTTTTCATTACAAAAATTGGGCTAATGACTTATTTCCTTTACCTTTTGACACATATTTATATTTGCATGGTCCCAGAAATGTATTATTTTGAGGATTGTGGTACAGTATATTAGTTACAATAATTTCACAAAACAAACTAGTTTAACTTACTTTAACTTTAGCTTATTTAGAGAATGTTTCATTTAAGTTACACCGTCTATATATGGTATATGTTTTGCAGACTTTTCGAAATTATATCACTATTATTTTATTTTGTAATAAACTCATAGAAATGAAGCTATGGCGTACATAGTGCATGTTAAATAGTAATATTAAAACGTGAATCTTCAATTCTTATGTTTGTTTAACCCTTTACCACATATATACGCGAAACAACGCACTTTCGACCCCCCCCCTTTTTAGGCCTGAAATAGTGAGAAAATGTCCTAATTGGGCCCCAAACACATGTTTTCGTTTGAAAAATGTTGCTAAAAAAAGTGAGCACTTTTTGGGCGCCGACCCCCATCCAAAAGATACATCAGGGGGTTGCCAGAAGGGGGATGTGCCCCCTTCTGTTTGGGGGGTTCGCCAAGAAAATTTTGGACTTGTGAGAGGCTTAAAATGACCCTAGGTCGATCATAAGGTAACGTGTAACCAACGCTGAAAAGCCTTTGACTCTATCTCAATCCCTTGTGAAGTTGCAGCACTTTGAAATAAATTTTATTGGAAAAAATCGAGGCAAAATAGTGATTTTTGGCAATTTTGATATGTCCCCTCGTTGCCATGGTAACAGGAATTTTAAGACTGAGCATGTCGTTAAAAAGGCAATGGTCCAGTCAACATTTGTGCCAAGTTTGATTAGTATTGAAGCATTTTTCATAGTTTCATAGCAGTTTGAACTTGTAAGAGGAGGCTTTTCAGTGAAAATGGCCATGTTTTACAATATGCTCATGGGGGAAAGGGTTAAAGTCCTTATTTCAGGCTTGTTTTAAGTTAGTAATATAATAATATTAGTTTAAGGAAATGTAATGAACATTCAAAAAAATTTTAGTCATATATACTGAAGTAAGTATACAATTATTTATGGGGGTAACTCTTTTACCCTTACGACCCTTACAGTCGTAGCACGTTTTATTTTTCACAGTAACGTTAATTCAACTTACAATTGCTCGGCAAAAATCAAGTCTTGATATAGTATTCAATCATATTTTTAATGTGAAAAAAGGAATAATCTCTGCATAAACTATTTATATGACATGTATGATTTTGTTTCTTTAATTTTTTTTCTTCTCAAAATTCTGGAAAGATAATTTAAGTTTACATTAATCCCATGACTTTTCATATTAACTAAATGTAAATTGAATGAAAAATGAGTGTTTTCAATATATGTAATACATAAATATTTCATTCGGTTCATATATAGCTACAATATAGCTCATTAAAAGAAAGCTATTGTGAGAATCACGCGCTATATTATGACAGAAAATGATTAAACATCAACTAATATATTACGGTGGTTACATTAACATTAATGTTAATTTTATATTTTGAGTAAGTTGCTTATCAGCGAAGACATATCTTATTTTCAATGAGAAAAAAAATATATATATAAAAGTTGTGTACTATTACGAATGAGTCATATATCAGATTTCGAGTGTGTAGGGTATTGACTACAATTCATACCCTTTAGTGTACCCATCAATACAGACGAGGAAGTTAATATAAGGTTTGCAAACCAGCTTAATGAACAAAATAAGTGTTTTGATAATATGAAAAGAAAGTTAAAAAAGGCCAGAAATTGGTTCACATTTTACTTATTTTACTTACTGGTTATGTTTTGTGATTTAAATGACAGTTTCAAATGAAGGTAAATATAAAAAGTAATTGTGGCTTTAAAAGTCTCTAAACGTTCATATATTAAATACATGTTTAACCTGTTGCTTAATATTTAATGTCACACACTCTTTTAAGTTATACTTTGCAAAAAGAAGGAATGTGCAACATGTGTTCCTCTAACAGAAGGTCATGTGATGTTTTAATTATTGAATTTTCTAGCCCGTAAAGCAAGGCCTCTTAAACACCTATTAATTTAAAAGTAAACTGTCATTTGGTGAGAGCGTTTAAAAGAATTTTTGAAACGTCGACTTGAATTTTCAGGTGTTTACTATTTACATATATCAATATTAATAGTAGTGTTGATAAAGTTACAAAATTACCATCATTCAACATACAAAACATAATTTTGTCATGCCGTTTTGGTTTTTAAAAATATTTAACCCTTATCAACGGCAAGCAGTTTTCAGTAAACAATTGTATTTCCTAAAAACCGTTATTTCATTGTTCATGTTTTATTCACGGTGAAGTTACAAATAATCCAGGAAATAACAATTCATAGGTAAATTTATGACATATTCATTCATTTACGTTATATACACAAGACAGTGTATGTAAAATTTCATTATACCACACATGAACGTTTTTCTATATAATTATGTTGGTCTATCATCCTGGAAATGGATATCACAGGTGAATATTTTTTGCAATACTTCCCCATGGTCTCTCTGTTCACGTTAACAAATTCTATATGTAAAATGTTTTACTATAAAATTTTTGTTCAGTAAAAAAACACATGTTTTTCAAGGTAAAAGTGCACTTAAGCAACCCACAAACTGAAATAAACCCTCGGTCCCGCCTCGCGTATTATTTCAGTTCGCGAGTTGCTAGTATGCACTATTACCCCGACAGACATGTGTTAATTTCATATTTATATCACTATATCTTCATTTAAGTATCTTTTGTCATATCATGTGATAACGTTTTCATTACAGTTCAGTCTTTTGTAAGCTTATACCCGTCAGTTTTAAATGTAAATGAAGGCAATACAGCAATCTTAAGTTGTTTTCACAATGGTACTGAGGAAAGAATTCGATGGGTAATTTATGACAATTATATTTGCCTCTTTGACATTGAATCGTGCATTGTGTTTCGCTTTCCAACAAAAAAATAAATTCAACTGCAGCTGTCTCAAGACTTTTAATGACACAGTACTGATTTTACAAATATCCACTTTTCAAAGGAAATATCATAATTCGTCCTTTAGTTGTATGATACTTTCCTTCAGTGGTGTAGGGAGCAAAAAAGGTAGTACTTTATGTAAAAGGTAGGTAATATTGATTTAAATTGCTTTTCTCTCTCTTCATTAAAACACTATCATAACATTAATAATGACTTTCTAAGTATAAAATGTTAAAGCAGCAAATTGATAAAATACATTTTCGAAAGTATGTAATATCACTAGTAAGCAAGATAACTTTATGCATGTATTTAGATCAGAAAACAAAATGTTGTATGAAATCAATACAATAAGGTTAATGAGTTATTGTTGCTGGGCAATTCGTTGCCTGAATTTGTTTAAGAATGCGAAATGTATGCAATGATATAGCCCGGGTCTCCACGATACCGGTGTACATATTTTATACAAGGTGTTTTTCATATAAAAATTTACTTACTTGAAAAAAATAAGGAATGAACAACTTCATTAACATTTAATCCTCTTAAAAATACATTACAGAGTTCTGTTAATCTGAAATTCTTGCTCACAAGAAATGTAAACAATGGTCGACCATTTTGTATGACGTAGTTAAACAGACTTCATGCTACCGGTGCACTGGTAAAAATTTTATTTATATGGAAAGCCATTGCAGTTTTAATAGCAAAAATATCATTTTAGCATTCTTGTATTCACATCTAAAAAATAACTTAAAAACAACATAAAAAATGTGTGTTTCAATAGTTTACTGTTCATCTTTTATAACCCCCAATGGATCTCTGTTTAAGAATCTTTTACTTCCAATTACAGGTGTATATTATACCATGTGACTGGATTAAAAAAATCCCCTTCACCTAATCTTAGTGTTGTTGTGATTTTCTGGTCCTTTTATATCATTGAATCTATTTTATTTCTATATGATGCAGATAAAATATCAATTTGGCACTTTACACAGGCTCCCTTAAAAGACAGAATGAAACTGACTTTTCAATTTTCACAAACTGTTTTATATGCACTAATGGCTTTCCATAGATTAATTTTTTCCCGCCAAAAATGATGTCAAAAGGTCAAGTAACATGTAATGGAGGTTGAATGACGTCAGCACCTGTCATTTTTTTATTTTCTTGGAAAAGAAAGTGTTTTGTAGAGAGACCAATTTATGCAATGGTAAAATAGGATAGTAAAATAAAAATAAGGTATGATATGTGAAATATTTCCTTCAGAAACAGTCTTGAAAATGTTTAAAAACTTTGAAATAGCCAATATTACTGGGAGCATGTCAATATAAACAGTCGGTAGGTGGTGTTGACAAAAATATCGCGAGATTTGTGAATATACCGGTACCGTGGAGTCACCGGTATCATGGGGTTCGAGTATACCTAAATATGTCCAAAAGTGACTATTATAGACTGTCAAGATGTTTTGACCATGATATTCAGGAATATAAACAAATAAAAAAAATCTTGTACAATGATACTATAAGAAACACACCCAAAGTTTCCACACTTCAATATCGACACGTTGATTCTTCTCAACACATAGAAATACAAATGGGAAAATAGAGACACAATAACATAAGTTACGGGCACCTGAAATAAGATTACTGCAATAATCTATTAGATGTTTTACTCATAAACAAAAAAGTTCGTATTTAGTCCATTTAAAAGTATGAATTCTTGTGTAAGGCCTTCATTACCATATTAAACAAAATGTCTGACAAAAATGGATACGTTTTCAACGGATAATGTTAACAATCTTTGCATAACTCAGTATTTTTGTGACCAATATATTCCTGAAAAAATTATCGTTTTTATTCATACATTTAATTAAGAATGGTTCACTCTTTGATATATTTTAAAAAAGAATTAAAACAATGTTTATTGATCATACCTTTATGTTCATTACCTTTGGTTTATTGACATGTTATTATTTATTCTTATTTTGGTGGTACATTTAGGTAAAAAAGTGTTGACTGTATCAAGTTAAAAGTTGATAGATATTATCGATATATTATATCGATATATATTATAGATATATCGGTAAAAAAGTGGTGCATAGATTTCCAATATGTTTAAGGTACTGTTAAACTTTAAACTAATAAAATGTACAAATTATTAGATAACATTGCGCAGATGTGCATTGTTTAAAAATCACTCTCTTTTTCATGATGTATAGGGATCTGAGTCCTAAAATTACAATCCGATGTATTGAATAATTCATTAAATGATATAGCATTTAAATTA